GAGACTTAGCATATTTTTTGTACAATAAATGTTTGGTTTTATTTAACAGACGTAGTTTTTCAGTAAACCACGGTGCGTCATGAGATGAGATTATGATAGTTTTGTGAATAATGTATTCATCAGCAATCAACGTCGCTATGAAGAACGTTGATAGTAGCGATTTATTTATTTTTATTATATCTTATTTTGTTCGCTCGATAGAATTTGACAAACGTGAGATTACATCGTAGAGAAGATGAAGGTAGCTGCAAATCAAAAATTACTTTTCTGGAGGCACTGGAATGGTTACGCTTTTCATAGATGGTATGTGATCAAATAAGAAAAACATTTGCTTGTCGAATTTTCCAATATCATGAGAAGATATTCATCGCTAAGACGTTGTCTATGGTGTAAGATACTAAATATCTTAGTAATTGTGGCTTGTCCAAAATAAATCCGGTTTTGTTTGGATTGAATTGTTGTTTAAATTCCAGACTTCCATCCAGTGAATCCATAACTAAGATTAATCTATTCACGAAAAGTGAGAGTCACCAAAGGTCCCCGACCTATAATAACAAAGACTGGAGCAAAATTGCAAATAAAAGAAAAAAGAAAAGGGACGAATTTTGTATTGTTAAAGAACTGATGGAATCCATGAAATAAGGACATCTTTCCCATCTGATTACATACGAAGATAAACAGCGTGATTACTGGTAAAGATAGTTTACAAGAGTTGGAGCAAACTAATAATTTAAAACTGTATAAACTAAAATTTAAAACTTTATTAGTGGTGAATTTTAGTCGACTAATCCACTAAGGTTGTTTCCTCCTATTTTACGATGCATTAAAACGCACAAATCCTCCATATACTTTGATGAATCTATACTATGATGAAGATGATAAGCTGTTCTTTTGTACGATGGAACGATGCATTAATAATTTCGCTATTTTAGAATGTGCAGAGAAGTCCTTGGGAATGAACTATGAGTGGGAGCCCTCAGAACGTTTTCTGGTTAGAGAGAAACAAGCGAACTTCACCTACAGCATATTTTTTAACATTAATTAATACACATCATCATCCGGATAGGGTCTGCTATTGTTAAAAATTCAACAGATTATTGCTTTGTAGATAATTGTAATATTTGATTGAAGTTTCATCTAATTGATTCTTATTATTTCGAATGACTTATTATTCTAATGCTACTGATGATACGGTGTTTTCACTCGAAGAAATTCGTGAAGAATTAGCTCGATGTGGCTATGATGGCGTATCAAAGCAAACATTGCATAAGTTTCAAACAGGTACGATCATCAATTTTCAGCAAATATTCTAGTGAATATACTAAAGAATAAGTAGTCAGAATGTTACACAGTATTTAGACGTGCGACGCATTGTAAAATTATGAAAAAGGCAAAACCAGGCGGCTTTGTTCAAACATCTGATTTTTTCTTTGGTTATGTTCAAAATTGATCTAAGATTATGTATGAGTGAATTAAGCTAGTTTTATGCAAGAAATCGCCTGAAGGATAACCCATATATCATTTTTCGATTGACTTTTTGTTTTGTAAATATGTCATATGCTGAAGTTTTTTCACGTATATCTAATACTTACTTGAATTTCAGTGCTGAAAAAATGGAGGAATCGTTTGAATACTACTTAAAAGTCTGTCGGAATCCAAACTAATTTTTTAAAATGAAATATCTGATCTCCATGTTTCTTTCGCTAATAATGGTTGGTTCTACATCTATACTGCTTGAAAATGTAAATGAAAACATCTGGAAATAGGAAACTTTTAATAATAACGGCTCTTAGTTGAAGAAAATCTGCATTTTTGAATAACTGTCCTTCGAATTTTGTTCCCTACTATTCAACAGTGATAGCGTAGACAAATAAGGAATATAACATTTGATACGACCCTTTTGATACTTTTGCTATGACAACAATGTTTTTTCTTTCTTAGAATGTTATACGAGCTCTCGTTTTTGAAGTAGGTCTCAAAGTTTGTGGGAAATATACTTGACTAAATTGCCAGATTTCATATTTTCTTCTATTCGATACCTTAAATTATTTTCACCAATTGATTTAGAATTGGCCAATTTGGCTAATCACGACAAAGCGCAATTTGATCAAGAGAAAAGTAAAGACTTTAGCAATATTTTCCATTACTTTATAATCTATGACTATTTTGCTTTATTTAAAACAGGCCACAAACGAAATGTGCAATCGAATGTTGATTTTACGGTAAATCGGTGCCTTAACATACCTTGAGCTGTTAATAACCTGACTACTATGTCTTTTAGATAAATTCAGTCAACAAACAAACACAGTCAGATAATGAATCCAACGATAACAATGAGAACGATGAAAGTCGTGATAAAACAAATCTACGATCAATCATTCCCCAACCATCGTGAGTGAAATAAACCATAGTTCAACAGAATAATAGACAAAGATTAGTATTTTGTTTTAGAATTTTGAAAACAAAACAACATTCTATGAATAATGTTGATGATAACGATGATAATTATAGTCAATCATCTGAAAGAGTAATTCGACGAAAAGTTTTACGGTATAGTAGATGAATGCTTCTCATGTTAAGAGTAAATGGAAATTATCGTTATAGGCGTCATAATGGAAAAGCAACTGTATGCGATGAATCTAGATCAGGTAGTTACTGTACTATTAATTGAAGTATGACTTAGGCTTTGTTATTTTAGAAACCAGCTCAATTAATGGCGGTTATTTGAATAATTCATTATTTAGTAACAGTAGTAGCAATAATCCTAAACACATGTACAATGTGAAAAATGATAATGATGACTCACACTCAGATAGCAGTGATCAAGTAAATAATCTTGTGTACTTCCTAATTGAGAGAGAACAAAATGTTCATATTTATTTAGACTCGTTCATCATCGAATTCTGTTCATGCAATCAAATCATGTAAGAAATGTTAAGTTTATTTGAACTTTTCTTCACATACATAAGTGTGTCAATAGTCGTTTGTTCATAAATTTTCATATTTAGTTATTCGTCCCTCATCGTCAGCGTCTTCACTTCGTCGTGCAAATAGTAGTTCGAATAACAATATTGATTCTGTTCAATTGTATTCCTATTATAAACGACAGTGGCAGTCTCAACGGGCTCCTGGTGAAAAATCACATCAGAGTCTGAGATGGTCAGTTAGAGATCAATTATTACAACGCCATGATGTACCAGTAAAAGTAAGTAGTACTTTTGTTTACATAAAATAATCAACGGTACGCTGGTATGACGTTTTCGACATTTTATCCCGTCCACATCTGAACAGTACGATAGTATATTGTGTGTAGTTTTAAAAATTGTTACGTTTTCTTTGTTTTAGCGAAAAACGCCACGTCGTGTGAATGACTATGTTGTTCCAACGGAGAAAAAACGTTCGTCACTTCGATGGGAAGTACGGTACGCCTTAGCGAACCCTGATAAATTTAGTTTACAACCATTTAGAAACGATGACTTATTTTCTTAAATAATTTGATAAATGTCTGTTTTGTTTAACTATGTTGGTTTCTTTTGATAGATAGTCAAATAATATCTGTTGTTATTTTTTGTACATATCAAGTTGAAATATTGTTGTGTTGTTTTTTTATATAATATTTTCTTATTGAAAAGAAAAAATCTAACATTTTTATTGTCAAATAATAAATAGATTTTATAGCGGTTTGATAAACCTAATAGATCAGATTTCCAAAACGTGTGTTATGATGAAAATCATAAACTCGATCAGTTCAAGTTTAGAACAATTTATAATCTACTCTTTGTTGTATTTAATGAGAACGTCGGAAATGTATGAGAAAACTAAAGTTTAGAAGAGCTTTGTTTAGTGATGACCTTTAATGTTTGATTGATCTAACATAACAGATATTTATGAGAGGCACTAAATCTAAAAATTGGTTTTTACGGTAAGTCAAAATATTTCGCAGATGATTAGAAAATTAAAAAACAAAATTTATATAATTCTTTTCTTCCATTCAAAACAAAAAGTGACAAAAAAGTAAATTTTCTCTATGAAAAAACGAAAAATAACTACTATCTGTTTCAAAATAGAATGCAGTCGGATATTTTTTTTTATAAGTTTTGAACCAACAGAGCTAGCGAGTTGCGGTTTTCAGTTTTATAAACTAGACACCGGGG